AAAAAAAAAAAAAAAAAGAAAGAAAGTTACAAGTCCAGGCTGTTCTTAAGCGTCATCAGAGATTTCATTGCTCTGCTGTGTGAAAGAGAAAGCCTGGCTTTAAAATTACCATGACATTGTAGCTGATAAGATTTCAGGCTAAAATTAATAGTTAAAGCAAAAAATGCTTAGGATCAGCATCACCCTTAAAAACTCCTTAAGAAGGCATATCAGAGGCAGTGTACCATCTTAATATATTTAACACAACTGATATTTGTTCCATAATTAGAACAGAATGTGCTTTCTTTGAACACCAAATGAAATAATTGGTTTATGTTTAGGGACCATGTTGTAGGGAAAAAAATAGGTATTCTCTAAAATTATGCCCACTGTGGTGAGATGCTTATTCTAAGACATGGGGAAGGAGATTAAGACTAGCCTAACTCGCCTAACAACAAATTCAAGGTCTCCCATCTTTCTCTCCCAGGGAATAGACATTAACTAGAATGGTTGGCAGAATTACCTATAACGCTTAAATCATTCTTATTCCTTTTAAAAACCAAGATTTTACAGTTATAATAATATAGTCGAATTACCATAAGTTAAATTATGTAAAATTTCATAACAAGAGAAAAGCTGATTTCTTCTGTCAAGAGCGTAGCCATCATTTTCTTTACCAAAAAATTATTTATTTTAAGCAGTTACATTTAAATAAATGCCCAATATAATCAGTAGACTAATTCCTATGAATTTCTCCTGCATAGAGTTCTACTAGAGAAATTATAATCTTAAGTCTGATTTCTCCAACAGTGGCAGTGGCATATACTGTGCCCTTTGGTAAGGAGGGTTACTTACTATGTTATTAAATCAGTAGAAATTTAGTGGTTTCCTAAAAATGACGTGATTTTTGTCATTCTGCCGTTCTTTGGTCAAGAATATCTGTAATTTGAACATATGAATATTCCTGAAGGATGGCACACCAGGGGAGGGTATGGGAGGTCTGCACCCCTTTCCCCATACCTCACCCTCTGCATCCCTTCATCTGTAGTCTTTGTAATATCCTTTATAACAAATCAGTAAACATTAGTAAATGCTTAACTGAATTTCTGCATGTAACTCTAGCAAATTAGTTAGACCCAAGGGAACCCCAATTTATAGTCAATCAGAAGCACAGAATTACTAGAAAAGGGACATCTGTTACGTAAGAAAACAAAGACTGTCAATCTCTGATCTCTAGTATGTGTTCAGCTGTCTGTGTCAACTCATGTACTAGTCTTATGTTGTCAGTGCTAACTTATTACCAGGATCTGAATTAAAAATATCTTGGGCACCACCATGAGGTCCAGTTGCCTGACCCTTCATAAAAGTGCTCGTGCAAGCCATTTACTTGTTACCTCTTACATAATTACATCCTTAACTATTTATGGTTAAAAGACCACAACATGTTTGAAGGTCTCATACAATATAAAGGAAATTTGTGATTACATTTAGTGTATACTTAGTGGATAGTCTACTCAGTCCCAAATACAATAAACTCTGAATAATATGATTAAATACCTCCATCACAATTCTTTCAACCTTTATGTTGATTTTGTTAACATTTGAAATGGTTGCCTTGGTGAGGAGGTATAGCAGAAACTATTAATAGATTTATAACTGTACTGCTTGGGTCAAATTTACCAGCCACTGTTCTGGGATTAAATAAGATACTAGGGATTAAAAATGAAAAATTATGGCCTATAAATTTTATGTCTAGCCTGCACAGAATCTGCACATGGATGTATATAGTAGCCTTATTCATAATTGCCAATATTTGTAAGTCACCAAGATGTCCTGCAGCAGGTGAACAGACAGCTAAACTGTGGTACATCCAGATGATGGAACCTTATTCAGCACTAAAAAGAAAGAAGCTATCAAGTCACAGAAAAAAAAATAAGAAAACTCTTAAATGCATTATTACTAAACGAAAGAAGCCAATCTGAAAAGGCCACATACTGTATGATTTAAAAGATAGAAAATCAACAGGGAAACACTGGGCTTAGACTGCCTAACATAGACCGAATGGACCTCACAGACATTTACAGAGCATGTTTTCCAACAGCTGCAGAATACACATTCTTCTCATCAGCACCTGAAACATTCCCCAGGATAGACCATATTTTAGGCCACAAAACAACTCGTAACAAATTTTTTAAAAACTCAAAATCATATGAAGTATCTTCTCAGACCACAATGGAATAAAACTAGAAATCAATAACCAGAGAAACTTTGGGAAAATGTATGAATACATGGAAATTAAACAACATGCTTCCAAACGACCATTGGGTCAATGAAGAAATTAAAAAGGAAATAAAATTCTTGAAGCAATTAAAAAAGGAAACACAATATGCCACAGCCTATGAGATACAGTAAAAGCAGCTCTGAGAGGAAAGTTTATAACAATAAATGCCTATGTCAGAAAAGTAGAAAGACTTCAAATAAACAACTCAACCATGTATCTCAAGGATATAGAACTCCAAGAACAAACCAAACCCCAAATTAGTAAAAGGAAAGAAATAATAAAATTCAGACCAGAACTAAATGAAATGGAGACTATAAAAAAAAAAACCAATGCAAAGGATCAATGAGACAAAAAAATTGGTCTTTTGAAAAGATAAAATCAAACTGCTAGCTAGGTAACCAAGCAAAGAGAGAGAAACCCAAGTAAATAAACTTAGAAATGAAAAAGGAGGCTGGGCATGGTAACTGACTTCTGTAATCTGAGCCCTCTGGGAGGCTAAGGCCAGAGGATCACTTGAGCTCAGGAGTTGGAGACCAGCCTGAGCAAGAGTGAGACCCTGTCTATACCAAAATTAGAAAAATTAGCTGGGCATTGTGATGCGTATCTGTGGTCCCAGCTACTCAGGAGGCTGACACAGGAAGATCACTAGAACTCAGGCGTCTGAGGTTGCTATGACCTAGGTTGACACCACGACACTCTAGCCTGGACAACAGAATGAGATTCTGTCAAAAAAAAAAAAAAAAAAAAAGAGAGAGAGAGAGACATTACAACTGATACCACATAAATACAAAAGATCATCAGACTATTATGAATAATTATATGCTAACAAATTGGAAAACAGAGGAAACAGATGAATTTCTGGACACATGCAACCTACCAAGATAGAATTAGGAAGAAAAAGAAAACCTGAACAACCCAGTAATGAGCAGCATGATTGAATCAGTAATAAAAAGTATCCCAGGAAAGAAAAGCCCGGGACGAGGTGGCTTCACTGCTGAGTTCTACCAGACTTATGAAGAAGAACTAATACCAGTCTTCCTCAGATTGTTGCCAAAAGTTGAAAGGAAGGAAATTCTTTCACTCATTCTATGAGGCCATAATTACCCTGACAAGACGATTACCACAACACAACAAGAACTCAACAAAAATGAAAACTACAGGCCATCCCTGATGAACACTTATGCAGAGATTCTCAACAAAATACTAGCAAACAAAATCCAATACATCAAAAAGGTAATACACCATGATCAAGTGGGATTTACCCCAAGGATGCAGGATGATTCAACATACACAAATCAATAAATGTGATACATCATTTCAAAAGGAAAAAAAAGATAAAAACCATATGATCATGTCAGTAGAGAGAGAAAAACATTTGATAAAATTCAATAACTCTTCATGATAAAAACTCTCAATAAACTAGGCATAGAAAGAACATGCCTCAACATCATGACAAATCCATAGCTAACTCTATCTTGTGGAATGGGGAAAAGCTAAAAGCCTTTCCTTTAAGGACTGGAACAAGACAAGGATGCTCATTTCCACCATTACTAGTCAACATAGTCCTGGAAGTCCCAGCAGTGCAATCAGCCAAGAAAGAAATAAAAAGCATTCAAATTGGAAAAGAGGAAGTTATAAATTATCCCTCTTTGCAGATGATATGATCTTATTTATAGAAAAACCTAAATTTTAGGGTGGCGCTGTGGCGCAGTGGGTAGGGTGCTGGCCCCAAATAGCAAGGGTGGAGGGTTCAAACCCACCCCTAGCAAACTGCAACAAAAAAAAAAAAGCCGGGCGTTGTGGTAGATGCCTGTAGTCCCAGCTACTCAGGAGGCTAAAGCAAGAGAATTGCCTAAGCCCAGGAGTTGGAGGTTGCTGTGAGCTGTGACGCTACAGCACTCTACTGAGGGTGATAAAGTGAGACTCTGTCTTTACAAAAAAAAAAGCAACTAAATTTTCCACCAAAAAACTATTAAACACTAAAAACAGAACTTCTATACAACCTAGCAATCCTACTACTAGATATTTATCCAAAGGAAAGGAAACCAGTATATCAAAGGGATACCTGCACCCCTATGTTTATTGTAGCACTATTCACAATAGCCAGGATGTGGAATCAACCTAAGTTTTCATTGGTGGATAAATGAAGAAAGAAAGTATGGTATATGCACACAATGGAATACTATTCAGTCATGAAAAAGAACAAAATCTTGTCATTTGCAGCAGCATGGATGGAACTGGAGGTCATTATATTAAGTGAAATAGGCCATGCACAGAAAGACAAATATTCCATGTTCTCATATGTGAGAACTAATAAAGTTGGTCTCGTGGAGATAGTAAATGGAATGATAGTTATCAGTGTCTGGGAAGGGTATGGAGGGAGATGAAAAGAGGTTAATTAATGGGTACATATGTATATATAGTTAGATAGAAGGAGTAAGTTCTTACACAGTAGAACACAGTTGGCTATAGTTACCAGCAATATGTTGTAAGGAAAATGCTCCTTACTTTTGATTGAGAGACATATGTAAACATTTCACTAAACTTTTTTCTCTCTTTCCTGCAGTGTATTATTCCTTTTCTCTCTCTTACAGGAATGATTTCCCTAATGAAAAGATCCCTACCCTGAGGGAAGCTGTTGCAGAGTGCCTAAACCATAACCTCACAATCTTCTTTGATGTAAAAGGCCATGCAAAAAAGGTACTATTTATACTGTGGAATTTACTTTGTTAAGAAGACATTTAAAGGCTGGATGCATGGTTCACTCCTGTAATCCTAGCACTCTGGGAAGCTGAGGGAGGTGGATCTCTTGAGCTCAGGAGTTTGAGACCTGCCTGAGCAAAAGCAGACCCCCATCTCTAATAGTAGCCAGGCATTGTGGCAGGTGCCTGTAGTCCCAGCTACTCAGGAGGCTGAGGCAAGAGGATTGCTTGAGCCCAAGAGTTTGAGGTTGTGGTGAGCCAAGAGGATTGCTTGAGCCTAAGAGTTTGAGGTTGCGGTGAGCCATGATGCCATAGCACTCTTCCCAGAGCAACAAAGTAAGACACTGTCTCAAAAAAAAAAAAAAAAATTAATTGCTAGTCATTTCCAAAGTTAACTGTATATTTTGTTCTTAAAAATTATTTAAAATGGGGGGGGAGGG